TAAGGGTGTGAGGTCTAGCATTCGCACCCTGGGCATGAGACTCCGGGCGGATATTCCGTCCTCTGTGCGCCTTATGGGGTACAACGTTCGGGTGTTTTACGCCCGTCAGCCGCGGATGTGTTATCGTTGTGGTCTTTTGGGCCATCAGGCTGCTGACTGTTCTGCGCCTCCTGTTGCACCAGTGAACCTCTTCAGTGAGGAGGATTTTCCGCCCCTTCCTGTGGGGGATGATTCGGTGGGTATGGACGTCTCTTCGGCTGAGGAGGTGCCCTCTGTAGCAGCTGTTGCTCCGCCTGTTGCGCCCCCTGTTGTTGCCGCATCTCTTCCAGAGGTTGGGTCCTCACCTAGTGCTCCGGCTGATGTCCCTGCGCCTCTTCCGCCTGCCGTTTGCTCAGACCCCTCGTCTTCCAGTTCTTCCTCTGCTGTGTCTGTCCCGGTCCCTGCACCCTCGCAGTCTGTCCCGGCTGTGCTGGGAGATGAGGTGGATCCGGAATTCCCTCCTGTGCCTGGCCTGGTGCCCCGTGTGGTTGAGGAGGCTGCCGTGCTGCGGCGTGCGTCGGTTCGCTCGGTTGGTGCTGCGCGGGTCGCTGAGTCTGCCTCCGGGTCTGATGATGTGCGGCCCGAGCCTAAGCGTTCCCGGCGTTCTTCTGTGTGGGCTGATGTTGGCGAATTCGACGAGTGTCGTCCTTCCGTTGACGGTGGGGTGGCTCCGGATGTGGTGCACACTACGGTGGTGGCGGAGGTACACTTGCCTGAGGATGCCGGTGCCGGCGTTTCGGCCTCCACTTCTGGTCCGGTGTCCGAGGGTCCTGCTTCAGGTGCGTTGCCTGCGTCGGATGGCTCCGGTTCTTCGTGGGCGGTGGTTCCCCCTGCTGTAGTTGGTGGTGAGCGGGGTGGCCTGGTGGTGATGTTGAGAAAGGATGCTCGCTCTGGATGTTCTGTGGCCCCTTCCTCGTTACCCGTTTCCTCGGCAGCGGTCTTGCCGCCTCTTCCGTTTCCTGCAGTCCCTTCCGTGTCTCCTGCGGTATCTGTGGAAGTGCTATCGTCTCAGCGTCCGACACCTGCTCCGATGGCGAAGGCGTGGCAGGCTCGGCGACCCTCGTCCGCTTCTCCGGTGTCATCTGCTTCCTCGAAGGGCGTGGTTGGCGCTCCCCAGCCTCGTTATGCGACTTGCGTCAGTGACCTTAGGCGTTGGCCGATGCCGCCAGATATAGATGTTCCTGAGTTTATGATACCCGCTCGGGCGCGGGGGGGTCGAAAACCCTACCGACCTTGAAGATCTCGTCTGGGAAGCTTACAAGTCGAAATATCCTTGTGAGCTGTTCCCGGAGAAGTACGTTTCTTCCGATGTTCCTCGCAAGTGATTTCTCTGTATTTTGTGTTGCCTGGTTGTGGGGTGTGTATGTGGGTGGGTGGGGTGGGTATTGTTTCCCGGTTCCTGCGTGCTCCGGTTTGTTTTGTGGGTTTTCTTGTATGGCTAGTGGGGGGGTGTGCGGTTCCTATGCGTTTGTGTGTTCGGTTATGGATGTCGTGTGCACTTGTTTGTCATATTGTGTGCCCTTCTGGCTGTTGGCGTGTGCTCTTTGTTATGTTTTGCCTTCCGTTTGTTATGGCGGATCTGTTTTCTTTATTGTTATTGTCCTTATTCTTGTATGTTTCTCGCCTCTCTGTCTGTATTTGAGGTGTTAGCAGGCTTGCTTTGTGTGCATTTTGTCCTGGGGTTTTCCCTTATGTTTGTATTACACTGTGTTACTAATTGTGTATTGTTTGTATCTGCATTTTTGTTTTGTGGTCAGCCCTTCTGGCTGGTCTTCTATTGATTTGTTCCTTTGTCCTTGTACATATGTGTGCTTTGTACTTTTGTTCTATGTTATATTTGTTCTGTTTTTCTTGTACATTATACGCATGCTTGCATGTAAAAATAAAAAAAAAAAAAAAAAAAACTTACAGGACCTTTAATATGTACAGTTTACAGTAGCAATGAACTATTAATAATAAAGTTGTGATATTTGGTTTGCAACTTAGGCAACATAGCGTTGGTTTACACCAATGATGAAATATTTAGAAATGTCTTCAACATTTGAATTTGATATTCAAATATACGATGTTACAAGGCGCACCGAGAGTGCTGCTAGTAAGTGGTGGTTACACAGGTAATGGATCGTGTAACAATTGCTAACTAAAATAGACTAGAGTTCGATTTCTGGGCAGGGGAAACGTTTGGGCAAGTTTCCTTACAACTGTTGCCTCTGTTCACCTAGCAATAAATAGGTATCTTTTGTCCTCTTAACCCATCTTTGTCCTCTTACTCTAACTTAAAGTAACGTTATCTTGAGGTTATCTTGAGATGATTTCGGGGGCTTAGCGTCCTCGCGGCCCTGTCCTCGACAAGGCCTCCTTTTTGTTATACACCCCCAGGAAGCAGCCCGTAGCAGCTGTCTAACTCCCAGGTACCTATTTACTGCTAGGCAACAGAGGCATCAGGGTGAAAGACTTTTTGCCCATTTGTCTCCGCCTCCACCGGGGATCGAACCCGGAACCTCAGGACTACGAATCCCAAGTGCTGTCCACTCAGCTGTCAGGCATTCTGCGCTTTACCCATAACTCACCCTCACCCCCTTAAACCCCCGCCCCCTCACTTCCCCCTCCCTCCCACTTACCCCACTTAAGACACCTATCACCCACTTAACCCATCTTCAACCCATAAAATGCAATTTCAAACTTGATCACCTTTATCCAACCACTTCTCTCGTAACCCCCCTACCCCCCCTTACACCCTCCCCGAGCCTACACCCCCCACCCCCCCTCCCAGATCCTACACCCCCCCCCCCATACATAATAGTGTAAGAAGCCTATGACCAACTTTAACCAGCGGGGAGATTATATCCAACAATTTTAACCTGAAGGAAATATATTATGCCTACTATTATGACCTGAGGGGAAGAGGGGCCCCATTAACGCCCATTTCTACCAATTTTATATGCGCCAAATCTTCCTTGAGTTCCTCTCGGTTCAATGTGATAAATTGCCAGCGTCAAACGCTATATATATCCCCGGTCATGTGGGGGGGGGGAGGCTCTTATATATCCATTACCGGGTATATGAACTCTGTCGGACACGAGGGGGGGGGGAGGGGCAGCCCGGACAGTAAATGCGGATAGTAGGGGTGGTGGTGGTGGTGGTAGTGGTGGTGGTAGGGGGGTGGTGGTGGTAGGGGTGGTACTCTGGGATGGTGGTGGTGATATTAGAGGTGGTGGTGGTGGTGGTAGTAGGAGTGGTGGTGGTGGTGGTAGTAGAAGGGGGTTGTGGTGGTACTGGAGTGGTGGTAGCATAGGTGGTGAAAGTAGTAGGAGTGGTGGTACTAGAGGTGATGGTGGTAGTGTGGGGTGGTGATGGTGGTGGTGGTGGTAGTATTGTCAACCACCAATATTGTCTAAGAGGGTTATCTAATGCTGTTGCAAACCTTTGTACTTTTTTTCAATTTTGACTCAATGTTTCACAAGACACGGATTCCAGGCCGGTGCTGCATATTCCAGTACAGGTCTAACAAATGTTGTGAAGACTGCCTTGCAGGAGTCCTGATTTAAGTTTCTAAACGGTGTGTGTTCTCATATTTGCCAGTGTCTCATATGCTGCCGATGTTATCCTGTTTGAGTGTGCCTCTGGTGACAGTCTTGGAACTATATCCACCTGCAAATCATTCATCATTTGGGGGAGTCGGCGTCTTGACACCGGCGTCTTGACACCGGCGTCTTGACACCGGCGTCTTGACACCGGCGTCTTGACACCGGCGTCATCCTTGACATGCTTGACGCAGTGAAGATCGCGTCACTCCAACAAACGGTAAGGAAAAACAACAGCATATTATTAGACCAACAGCACATCACGTCATTAAGAGCTTCGAGAGAGTGCTAAGAGGCGAGCTCTTCACACATACGGCATCACAGGACACGCCACACCAATGACGGCACTTTATGGCGCGCTATTTAAGGTAGAATGTTGCAGCGAACGAACACCTCCATTGAACGCTAGAGAACGCGCAGGTGAAGGATTGATTTATTGGAAGTATTAGACGACTGATTCTAAATCGGAACGCTGAAATCATTTTCATGTGACCAGGAGGCAAAGCGAAATGTGTCAAATTGCCCCAATCAAAAATAGGGGGTGTAATAGGTGCTCTAATAGGTGCCCAGACTTTTCAACATTCTCTATATAGTAGGCATAGCTATCCGACCTCTTTTGGTGTTGAAGAGGGAACTTGATACACACCCCGAGGGAACCCGATCAACCAGGCTGTGACTCAAATGCTATATAGCGAGCAGCGACGTCTAACAGCCTGGCCGACCAGACCTACACGCACACTAAACAGGGTGTGGCACTAGCCACAGTTAATTGAGTGTGAGGCTCGACTAATGACCCTTAACCACTCTATTATCTCACCCGATAATAATTTACAGATTAAGTATTGTTATTAACCATACTTAAACGCTTGCAATTTACGAATGAACGAACGATAATTGTTCTGTACAGCTTTATACCTTAGATCACGGCACAATCAACCTTACAGACGCGGTACGCTATCGCAGCACCTGGACTGACCTTATCAACAACTCAACTACACCTGTTTGCAGATAAAACAAAAACAACGCTTGTAAACAGTGCGTTAAAAGTTCTCTTGCTCTTGGTCCTCATAACCTTGCACAGTCATTACCTGTTAATTACCTAAGGATTTCGAGAGTTCTCCTCCCGCAGCCTCTCCTGGGGGGCAGCCTGGCCTAGGGTCAGCCTGGCCTGGGGTCAGCCTTCCCCGGTGATACCGTAGAAGAAACTCTCAAGTTTAAAACTAGCCACTTAAGGTTAAGCAACTTGTACATAAGAGGACCATGTTAAGCAAGCCATTATAAGCAGACTGAAGAATACGTAGATAACTAAGTGTTGAAGAGGCGAGTGGGAGCCATTACCAGCAGAGGGCGAGGCCAGGGTGGCCTGAGCTCTCTGCTTTAATAAACAAGATTTACTAAATCTGGCATTTTTGCCGACATGCACCGCAGAAAGGCTACCGATTTCACGGGGCTCAGGTCGACGGCTGCAGGTACAGTGGTGGTACACAGGTCGACGGCTGCAGGTACAGTGGTGGTACACAGGTCGACGGCTGCAGGTACAGTGGTGGTACACAGGTCGACGGCTGCAGGTACAGTGGTGGTACACAGGTCGACGGCTGCAGGTACAGTGGTGGTACACAGGTCGACGGCTGCAGGTACAGTGGTGGTACACAGGTCGACGGCTGCAGGTACAGTGGTGGTACACAGGTCGACGGCTGCAGGTACAGTGGTGGTACACAGGTCGACGGCTGCAGGTACAGTGGTGGTACACAGGTCGACGGCTGCAGGTACAGTGGTGGTACACAGGTCGACGGCTGCAGGTACAGTGGTGGCACACAGGTCGACGGCTGCAGGTACAGTGGTGGTACACAGGTCGACGGCTGCAGGTACAGTGGTGGTACACAGGTCGACGGCTGCAGGTACAGTGGTGGTACACAGGTCGACGGCTCCAGGTACAGTGGTGGTACACAGGTCGACGGCTCCAGGTACAGTGGTGGTACACGGGTCGACGGCTCCAGGTACAGTGGTGGTACACAGGTCGACGGCTCCAGGTACAGTGGTGGTACACAGGTCGACGGCTGCAAGTACAGTGGTGGTACACAGGTCGACGGCTGTAGGTACAGTGGTGGTACACAGGACGACGGCTGTAGGTACAGTGGTGGTACACAGGTCGACGGCTGTAGGTACAGTAGTGGTACACAGGTCGACGGCTGCAGGTACAGTGGTGGTACACAGGTCGACGGCTCCAGGTACAGTGGTGGTACACAGGTCGACGGCTGCAGGTACAGTGGTGGTACACAGGTCGACGGCTGCAGGTAGTGGTGGTACACAGGTCGACGGCTGCAGGTAGTGGTGGTACACAGGTCGACGGCTGCAGGTACAGTGGTGGTACACAGGTCGACGGCTGCAGGTAGTGGTGGTACACAGGTCGACGGCTGCAGGTACAGTGGTGGTACACAGGTCGACGGCTGCAGGTACAGTGGTGGTACACAGGTCGACGGCTGCAGGTACAGTGGTGGTACACAGGTCGACGGCTGCAGGTAGTGGTGGTACACAGGTCGACGGCTGCAGGTACAGTGGTGGTACACAGGTCGACGGCTGCAGGTACAGTGGTGGTACACAGGTCGACGGCTGCAGGTAGTGGTGGTACACAGGTCGCCGGCTGCAGGTACAGTGGTGGTACACAGGTCGACGGCTGCAGGTAGTGGTGGTACACAGGTCGCCGGCTGCAGGTACAGTGGTGGTACACAGGTCGACGGCTGCAGGTAGTGGTGGTACACAGGTCGACGGCTGCAGGTACAGTGGTGGTACACAGGTCGACGGCTGCAGGTACAGTGGTGGTACACAGGTCGACGGCTGCAGGTACAGTGGTGGTACACAGGTCGACGGCTGCAGGTAGTGGTGGTACACAGGTCGACGGCTGCAGGTACAGTGGTGGTACACAGGTCGACGGCTGCAGGTACAGTGGTGGTACACAGGTCGACGGCTGCAGGTACAGTGGTGGTACACAGGTCGACGGCTGCAGGTACAGTGGTGGTACACAGGTCGACGGCTGCAGGTACAGTGGTGGCACACAGGTCGACGGCTGCAGGTACAGTGGTGGTACACAGGTCGACGGCTGCAGGTACAGTGGTGGTACACAGGTCGACGGCTGTAGGTACAGTGGTGGTACACAGATCGACGGCTGCAGGTACAGTGGTGGTACACAGGTCGACGGCTGCAGGTACAGTGGTGGTACACAGGTCGACGGCTCCAGGTACAGTGGTGGTACACAGGTCGACGGCTCCAGGTACAGTGGTGGTACACAGGTCGACGGCTGCAAGTACAGTGGTGGTACACAGGTCGACGGCTGTAGGTACAGTAGTGGTACACAGGTCGACGGGTGCAGATACAAAATTGGAACATCACACAAAGTTAGAGAAGATTCAGAGGTATGCCACCAGACTAGTCCCAGAACTAAGAGGTATGAGGTACAAGGAAAGGCTACGGGAGCTAAACCTCACGTCCCTGGAAAACAGAAGAGTAAGAACAGACATGATAACCACCTACAAAATTCTCAGAGGAATTGACAGGGTGGACAAAGACAAACTATTTAGTATGGGTGGGACACGAACAAGGGAACACAGATGGAAACATAGTACCCAAATAAGCCACAGAGATATTAGAAAGAATTTATTTCAGTGTCAGAATAGTTAACAAATGGAATGCATTAGGAAGTGTTGTGGTGGAGGCAGACTCCATAAACGTTTTCAAATATAGATACGAGAGAGCCCAATAGGCTCAGGAATCTATAAATCAGTTGATTGACAATAAAGAGGCGGGACCAAAGAGCCGCAACTCAACCCCCGCAAGCACAACAAGGTGAGTACACACACACAAGGGCTACACCACTACCCCAACACCACACACACACACACAAGGGCTACACCACTACCCCAACACCACACACACAAAGGCTACACCACTACCCCAACACCACACACACACAAGGGCTACACCACTACCCCAACACCACACACACACAAGGGCTACACCACTACCCCAACACCACACACACACACACGAGGGCTACACCACTACCCCAACACCACACACACAAGGGCTACACCACTACCCCAACACCACACACACAAGGGCTACACCACTACCCCAACACCACACACACACAGACAAGGGCTACACCACTACCCCAACACCACACACACACACAAGGGCTACACCACTACCCCAACACCACACACACAAGGGCTACATCACTACCCCAACACCACACACACAAGGGCTACACCACTACTCCAACACCACACACACAAGGGCTACACCACTACCCCAACACCACACACACACAAGGGCTACACCACTACCCCAACACCACACACACAAGGGCTACACCACCACCCCAACACCACACACACACACACAAGGGCTACACCACTACCCCAACACCACACACACACACACAAGGGCTACACCACTACCCCAACACCACACACACACGAGGGCTACACCACTACCCCAACACCACACACACACACACAAGGGCTACACCACTACCCCAACACCACACACACACAAAGGCTACACCACTACCCCAACACCACACACACACAAGGGCTACACCACTACCCCAACACCACACACACACAAAGGCTACACCACTACCCCAACACCACACACACACAAAGGCTACACCACTACCCCAACACCACACACACACACACAAGGGCTACACCACTACCCCAACACCACACACACACACACACACAAGGGCTACACCACTACCCCAACACCACACACACACACACGAGGGCTACACCACTACCCCAACACCACACACACACACACACGAGGGCTACACCACTACCCCAACACCACACACACACACACACACAAGGGCTACACCACTACCCCAACACCACACACACACACACGAGGGCTACACCACTACCCCAACACCACACACACACACGAGGGCTACACCACTACCCCAACACCACACACACACACACACAAGGGCTACACCACTATCCCAACACCACACACACACACACGAGGGCTACACCACTACCCCAACACCACACACACACACACACAAGGGCTACACCACTACCCCAACACCACACACACACACGAGGGCTACACCTCTACCCCAACACCACACACACACACACGAGGGCTACACCACTACCCCAACACCACACACACACACACACATAAGGGCTACACCACTACCCCAACACCACACACACACACACGAGGGCTACACCACTACCCCAACACCACACACACACACACACATAAGGGCTACACCACTACCCCAACACCACACACACACACACGAGGGCTACACCACTACCCCAACACCACACACACACACACGAGGGCTACACCACTACCCCAACACCACACACACACACACACACGAGGGCTACACCACTACCCCAACACCACACACACACACACGAGGGCTACACCACTACCCCAACACCACACACACACACACACATAAGGGCTACACCACTACCCCAACACCACACACACACACACACACACACGAGGGCTACACCACTACCCCTACACCACACACACACACACACGAGGGCTACACCACTACCCCAACACCACACACACACACACAACACACACGAGGGCTACACCACTACCCCAACACCACACACACACACACACACACACGAGGGCTACACCACTACCCCAACACCACACACACACACACACACACACACACGAGGGCTACACCACTACCCCAACACCACACACTATATTTAGCATGAGCATGAGGCCATGATAAGCCTGGTCTTACAGCTAGCCAGGCTCTGGCCATGATGATAGCAGCGCCCTCCCGCCGCCCGCCTCTGATCACTCTATGTCCCGCCCTAATAAATAAATATATAGCAGGAGACATGATCCGTATGATTTACTCTCGAGAACACGGTCCGCTTAATTTAATTATGGGCAGCTGTGCTGTAGAAAAGCCAGGTGTGTGCTGCGTGTACTCCCAGGTGTACTACACCAGGTGTGTGCCGCGTGTACTCCCAGGTGTACTACACCAGGTGTGTGCCGCGTGTACTCCCAGGTGTACTGCACCAGGTGTGTGCCGCGTGTACTCCCAGGTGTACTGCACCAGGTGTGTGCCGCGTGTACTCCCAGGTGTACTGCACCAGGTGTGTGCCGCGTGTACTCCCAGGTGTACTACACCACGTGTGTGCTGCGTGTACTCCCAGGTGTACTGCACCAGGTGTGTGCTGCGTGTACTCCCAGGTGTACTGCACCAGGTGTGTGCCGCGTGTACTCCCAGGTGTACTGCACCAGGTGTGTTGCAATCACCACTAGATGCAAGAGAAAAACATATATATATAAGCGCTCTCTATTTTATTTTATTGGAGTTCATTCACCTAGTATTTGGGACCGAAGAAGAGCTACTTTTGGTATGTCAACTGTCCACTTTTGTGTATTTCGATTATTCCAACGCTCTACACCTCAACTACACCTGGCCATCCGCTACACCGCCTCTACACCAGCTCCCGAGGTGGGCCAGCAGGTGTGGTGTGTGTGTGTGTGTGTGTGTGTGTGTGTGTGTGTGTGTGTGTGTGTGTGTGTGTGTGTGTGTGGCCGAGACGGGCAGCTATAGTACCCCGGGTATCTTGAAACATCAGAGGCATCTACCGCCGCCCAACATACCTCTCTGTTCCCAACATCAGCCTCCAGCACCTGCTCTCAGTGCTCCCCGCCGCACAGTAAGCACAGCTCAACCTCCCGGGCGTGTGCCCACATCTGCTTAAAGAGAAACTTAAGCAGGTACGAAATTCTCCACTCTTCTTACCTAGACGTAATACGGTACAATCAACTCTGAATACACGTACACACACACACACACACACACACACACACACACACACACACACACACACACACACACACACACACACACACACACACACACACACACACACACACACACACACACACACACACACACACACACCACACACACACACACACACACACACACACACACACACACACACACACACTCACACACACACACACTCCTCGTATGAGCTACGAGGAGAGACTACGGGAATTAAACCTCACGTCACTGGGAGACAGAAGAGTTAAAGGGGACGTGATCACCACATACAAGATTCTCAGAGGAATTGATAGGGTAGATAAAGACAAACTATATAACACAAGGGGCACACGCACTTGGGGACACGCGTGGAAATTGGCCCAAATGGCCTCTATGGCCCAAATGAGACACAGAGGCTCATTTAGAAAGAATTTTTTTAGTGTCAGAGTAGTAGAGAAATGGAATGCATTAGTGAGTGATGTGGTGGAGGTAGACTCCATACACAGCTTCAAGTGTAGATATGATAGAGCCCAATATGCTCAGGAACCTGTACATTAGTTGATTGACAGTTGCGAGGCGGGACCAAAGAGCCAGAGCTCAACCCCCGCAAGCACAACTACGTAAGTACACACACACACACACACACACACACACACACACACACACACACACTTAGGCTTCATTTTCAATCATAAAACACATCCAGGCTTCCTTGTAAACCATAAAACATACATCCAGGCTTCCTTGTAAACCATAAAACATACATCCAGGCTTCCTTGTAAACCATAAAACATACATCCAGGCTTCCTTGTAAACCATAAAACATACAATCAGGCTTCGCTGTAAAAAAATAAAAATAAAAAAGAAATAGATTACTCAGGACGACGTAGCCGGGGCCTCCATCACAGCTCATCAAACCAGTGGGGAATGTGTAGAAATATCAAGTAGGTACAGTGGGGAGAGGTGGTGTTGGGTTCACCTGGGCACACCAAGTACCACCCTACACCCAGAACCCGCACCAGGCATGCTCCAGGTATACTCCAGGTATACACACCAGCAGCAGTATAACGAACCATGGCTCAGCAGGATCACCCACCTCTCTACACAAGGCATGTGTGTTCATATACTGTACAGTGTACATGTTAAAAATATAAATGAAGAAGTTCATTATTCTGTACAAACACTTCACAATAGGGATTCCAAATCCAAATCCAGGGATTCCATCACAATGGTTGTACTCTTCAAATCACTTGTGCTGTCCCGTCTTGAGTACTGCTCAGTACTCACTTCCTTTTTCAGAGTAGGAGAGATTGCAGAAATTGAGGGAGTACAGAGGACATATACGGCACGCATAGACGCGATAAAGCATCTAAATTATTGGGATCGTCTCAAAGCTGTCCAAATGTACTCACTAGAAACGAGACAAGAGAGATATCACACAGAATAGTACCAGTGAAGAGCAGAGGTGCCATAGGCACAATCAGAGAACACTGTATAAACATCAGAGGTCCACGGTTGTTCAACATCCTCCCAGCGAGCATAAGAAATATTGCCGGAACAATCGTGGACATCTTCAAGAAAAAACTAGATAGTTTTCTTCAAGGAGTGCCGGACCAAGCGGTCGCTGGTGGGTATGTGGGCCTGCGGGCCGCTCCAAGCAACAACCTAGTGGACCAAACTCTCACAAGTCAAGCCTGGCCTCGGGCCGGACTTGGGGGAGTAGAAGAACTCCCAGAACCCCATCAAGCAGGTAACAGACAGCTCGAGGCCACGAGAACAAAGTATGGAAGCACCTAAGGTTTACGAGCGGCGGGTACCTCAACACTGAGAGGTATACCCCGCTGTGGGTATACAACACGAGCGAGAGTGGTTAGTGCTGCAATGAGCGGGAAATGTTGCCATGAGGAGTGAACAAGGGGGCCATAGAGTGCCATACGGGGCCAACGCCTGGCACTGGAAACTACCCGCACCAACCACTGTCCTCACTAACACTGACCACTCCTCGTGCTCATCCTCGTGCTCACCTCCACGCTCTTACTCATTCTTCGTTCCTTCTAAACTTTATCATTCTTCTGACTTCATTTTTTTGGCCTCTTCGTCATTCTTCTTTCTTCATTCCTCCTGAATATTTTTTCTCACCCACACCACATACATGACAGTAAACTGTGGCAGGTGCGGTGGGGAGGGCCAGTCAGGTGTGCGTGTTTGGGGCGAGTCAGGTGTGTGTGTAGGGCTAGTCAGGTGTGTGTGTAGGGCTAGTCAGGTGTGTGTGTGTGTAAGGCGTCAGGTGTGTGGAGAGGGCGAGTCAGGTGTGTGGGCTCAGCAGCTCAAATGCTCTCCCCTGGGGAACAAAAATATCAACAATGACTAAGGACTACGTGTTGATAGAATACACAACACCCGGCCACACATTCTTCCTGCCCTCTACTGTCATCCCCCACCACTCTCCGCCCTCACCCGCCGCCCTCCGCCCACACCTGCCGCCCTCCGCCCACACCCGCCGCTCTCCGCCCACACCCGCCACTCTCCGCCCACACCCGCCGCTCTCCGCCCACACCCGCCGCTCTCCGCCCACACCCGCCACTCTCCGCCCACACTCGCCGCCCTCCGCTCACACCCGCCGCTCTCCGCCCACACCCAAGCCTACTACCCTCCATATGCACCACCCATCCACCTGGAGGTTACATGGAGAGGGTTCCGCGACTTCATCTACTCCCCAATGCCGACCCGGGGCCAGGCTTGACTTGTGACAGCTTGGTCCAACAGGCTGTTGCTCGGAGCGGCTCACAGGCCTCATTTCCACTGCAGTGTGGTTGGTGCGGCACTTCTTGCAGTGTGGTTGGTGCGGCACTTCTTGCAGTGTGGTTGGTGCGGCAGTTCTTGCAGTATGGTTGGTGCGGCACTTCTTGCAGTGTGGTTGGTGCGGCACTTCTTGCAACCTGGTTGGTGCGGCACTTCTTGCAGTGTGGTTGGTGCGGCACTTCTTGCAGTATGGTTGGTGCGGCACTTCTTGCAGTGTGGTTGGTGCGGCACTTCTTGCAGTATGGTTGGTGCGGCACTTCTTGCAGTGTGGTTGGTGCGGCACTTCTTGCAGTGTGGTTGGTGCGGCACTTCTTGCAGTATGGTTGGTGCGGCACTTCTTGCAGTGTGGTTGGTGCGGCACTTCTTGCAGTCTGGTTGGTGCGGCACTTCTTGCAACCTGGTTGGTGCGGCACTTCTTGCAACCTGGTTGGTGCGGCACTTCATGCAGTCTGGTTGGTGCGGCACTTCTTGCAACCTGGTTGGTGCGGCACTTCTTGCAGTGTGGTTGGTGCGGCACTTCTTGCAGCCTGGTTGGTGCGGCACTTCTTGCAGTGTGGTTGGTGCGGCACTTCTTGCAGCCTGGTTGGTGCGGCACTTCTTGCAGCCTGGTTGGTGCGGCACTTCTTGCAGCCTGGTTGGTGCGGCACTTCTTGCAACCTGGTTGGTGCGGCACTTCTTGCAACCTGGTTGGTGCGGCACTTCTTGCAACCTGGTTGGTGCGGCACTTCTTGCAGTGTGGTTGGTGCGGCACTTCTTGCAGTCTGGTTGGTGCGGCACTTCTTGCAGTCTGGTTGGTGCGGCACTTCTTGCAGTGTGGTTGGTGCGGCACTTCTTGCAGCCTGGTTGGTGCGGCACTTCTTGCAACCTGGTTGGTGCGGCACTTCTTGCAGCCTGGTTGGTGCGGCACTTCTTGCAACCTGGTTGGTGCGGCACTTCTTGCAGTGTGGTTGGTGCGGCACTGCTTGCAACCTGGTTGGTGCGGCACTTCTTGCAGTGTGGTTGGTGCGGCACTTCTTGCAGCCTGGTTGGTGCGGCACTTCTTGCAACCTGGTTGGTGCGGCACTTCTTGCAACCTGGTTGGTGCGGCACTTCTTGCAACCTGGTTGGTGCGGCACTTCTTGCAGCCTGGTTGGTGCGGCACTTCTTGCAGTCTGGTTGGTGCGGCACTTCTTGCAGCCTGGTTGGTGCGGCACTTCTTGCAGTGTGGTTGGTGCGGCACTTCTTGCAGTGTGGTTGGTGCGGCACTTCTTGCAGTGTGGTTGGTGCGGCACTTCTTGCAGTGTGGTTGGTGCGGCACTTCTTGCAGCCTGGTTGGTGCGGCACTTCTTGCAACCTGGTTGGTGCGGCACTTCTTGCAGTGTGGTTGGTGCGGCACTTCTTGCAACCTGGTTGGTGCGGCACTTCTTGCAGTGTGGTTGGTGCGGCACTTCTTGCAGCCTGGTTGGTGCGGCACTTCTTGCAGTGTGGTTGGTGCGGCACTTCTTGCAGTGTGGTTGGTGCGACACTTCTTGCAGCCTGGTTGGTGCGGCACTTCTTGCAGCCTGGTTGGTGCGGCACTTCTTGCAGTGTGGTTGGTGCGGCACTTCTTGCAGTGTGGTTGGTGCGGCACTTCTTGCAGCCTGGTTGGTGCGGCACTTCTTGCAGTCTGGTTGGTGCGGCACTTCTTGCAGTGTGGTTGGTGCGGCACTTCTTGCAGTGTGGTTGGTGCGGCACTTCTTGCAGTCTGGTTGGTGCGGCACTTCTTGCAGTGTGGTTGGTGCGGCACTTCTTGCAGTGTGGTTGGTGCGGCACTTCTTGCAGTCTGGTTGGTGCGGCACTTCTTGCAGCAACTTGTCTACTTGCGTCTTGAAGAAATCCACCTTTGTTCCGCCAATGATAATGTTTATTTAGGGTAAAGGACATACGTACACAATGAGTTACAAGCAGGATGTCCTCTTCCACCCGTTCCATTACCCTTCTCCCCCAGCCTCACCATCCCGTCTAGCCCTCCCCCAGCCTCACCATCCCGTCTAGCCCTCCCCCAGCCTCACCATCCCGTCTAGCCCTCCCCCAGCCTCACCATCCCGTCTAGCCCTCCCCCAGCCTCACCATCCCGTCTAGCCCTCCCCCAGCCTCACCATCCCGTCTAGCCCTCCCCCAGCCTCACCATTCCGTCTAGCCCTCCCCCAGCCTCACCATCCCGTCTAGCCCTCCCCCAGCCTCACCATTCCATCTAGCCCTCCTCCAGCCACTCCATCCATTACATCTCTCCAGCCAACTACACACCTCACCTCCTCCCCTTCCTATCTACATAACAAAATGGTTCACTTTATTGACTCTGTGCCCCCCTAGCACTAACTCTTTCCCATTTATCCTCTTCCATCTCTCTCTCTCTCTCTCTCTCTCTCTCTCTCTCTCTCTCTCTCTCTCTCTCTCTCTCTCTCTCTCTCTCTCTCTCTCTCTCTCTCTCTCTCTCTCTCTCTCTCTCTCTAACACCATGACATCCAACATTATAATTGGTCAATCTCGCCAGAGACGAATGAAAGGAGAAAACTCGTGACGCGCAGAATACTTCTCTTGTCTCTCAAGAGGAGAGAGTGTCGCCTGCCCCCTTCCACACACTAACCCTCAACTCACGCAATCATTCTTTTTTCCTCCTTTCTCGCTTCCTTATTCTATTACTCTCTCGCCTTTCCCAAAGGCTGGCTTGGTGGACCAAACTCTCACAAGTCAAGTCTGGCCTCGGGCCGGGCTTGGGGAGTAGAAGAACTCCCAGAACCCCATCAACCAGGTATCAAGCAGGTACCTATTAGAATGTGTTAGTGCAGCCCGTCCTCCAAAAATGGGGAGGCAAATATAACAGCGCAAATAAGTGCAATTGTGTACTATTCATAGCAGCCAGGAATTGTACTTATTTTCACTTAGTATTAAATCGCAGTCAAATATATTGTAAATATTTGAGTTTGCCTGAAAAGCTGAATAGAAAACCACGACCTCACCTAACCGTCTTAGTGTTTGAAGATAAGCATTTTATTGCTTCTTAATTACAGTTAGTACTTAACCTATACCTATATTGATATTACAGTTTTTTAAAACTAATAAAACAAAACTAAAATATATCAATAAATTATAAAGTTACTCAGGATATTTTAAAATTTTGTATAAAATCTCTATTTTGTTTAATAAAACTAAAAAAGAAATTCCTAATATTTAAAACTTGTGTATAGCATATTCAACGTGAAAACATCATTCTAAAATTCTGAGTGTTTTAACAGAAAATGAAGAGAATAAATGGGGAGGCAAATGTAACAGCCCCGTAAGTGCAATTATGTACTATGTATGACAGTAAGGAAATGTACTTATTGCACTTAGTACTAAATAGTAATATCAATTCGGAGGATGGGTTGGTTAGTGAGAGTTAAATGTAAGCAGCGAAAGGGGCACATCATAGCATAGCCCATCACAGCACAGCACAATGCAAAACATCAAAACACATTCCATCACATCACAGCACAGCACATCATGATGCTACCTGGACAAGTGAAATTGGAAGAGAGAGGTTGGAATATTTGCAGACGAAAATGGTGGCAACAGGAGAGTTGAAACTGGAAGGGAAAGAGAAGAGTGGATGGAAAGAGAGAGAACACAGTACACAGGCGGACGAGAAGAGCTTGAAGGAAGGCAAAGAAGGTTGATACAGAAGAAGGGAATTGAAAGAAGAGACGTGCTTCAGACGAGTTGGAAGAGGAGAAATATAAGGATCCAAATAAATTGAAGGGGGGGGGGTAAACAAGCGAGGAAGAAAGAATGAAAGGGAATACGGGATAGATGAGAGTATGAATAGAGATCAGTACCAGTGCTCTGGGCAAGCAGAACATCCCAATAGGCTCAACACCTGTACCGGCAAGGACACCACACCGCCTTAGGCTACGATTATATATAGAATAAGCGATGCCTTAAGTACACATCTGTCTCCTGTCTCTTGAGATCTTGCCCCCAACGACCCGACTGAAGACACATACGACGGGAGGCTGGAGCACCACCACACGCGTGACTTTACAACCGGAGATAATCGTCAAGTCGTAACGAGTCGCACCTTGAAGCCATTCAGGAGCTTTCCGCTTGTCTCGGCTCCCAGAATATAATATCCAGCCGTGTTTCTCATCGCCGCTTTTCCTTCTAAGCTGCAATTACTGCGATTATCTGCACCGGGAGGAAATCTGTGTAATGGGACATCTGCAGGGGCAATAAATGTCTGGTCTGTGGCCAGGGAGGAGGTTGGTGGGCCTGGTGAGGCTGGTGTGGCTGGTGGGCCTGGTGGGGCTGGTGTGAGGCTGGTGGGCATGTTGGGGCTGGTGGGGCTGGTGTGGGGCTGGTAGACCTTGTGGGGCAGGTGGGGCTGGTGTGGGGCTGGTGGGCCTTGTGGGGCTGGTGTGGGGGCAGGTGGGCCTGGTGGGGGCTGGCAGGGCTGCCGTTCACAACCACGCACCGTTAAATTGCTGCCCATAAATGTATTTGCCAAAATAAGAGAATTCGTTCTCTAGCCACCGAACACTCGCAAGAAAAGAGGCTCAAGTTGGTTTTTACTGGTCGTAAACACGCAAGCGACGTCAAGGAGGACAAGAATAATAGTCGTGTCTTAAGGAGGAGGAGGAGGAGTATAAGACCCGAGGAAAGCATGTAATCCCCCCCTTACATCATAGCTACCTCATAAACAATCCTTATATCTAATCTCACCTAAAATAACGAAAGAGATGAAATGTATATCCCATGTGGCATGGCCGCGGGGCGCGAGTCGTCGCTGTGGCACTGGCACTTGGGAGTAGCGAGGAGAGGCACGCTGTAACTACCCCTCCACGCTAGCTAGGGTGATCACCGGGGAGCCTCACTACCCTCAGCCCCTAATCCCTTAATATCAACCCAGACTTAGGGAGTCGCCACACGACCTTATTCCCGCCGCTAAAAGAGGGATTATGACCCTAGACGCCCGAGGCAGAAAGGTCGCTTCGACGGCTTAAGGAGCCTGCCGCGGGAATGCTTATCAAGTGTCGCTAAATATACCGAGAGGCACTGAAGAAGCTTAAGCGGCCTCTAAGAGAGTAATCTTGTACGGCCAAGGAGGGACAAGTTCCCACGCGGGTCCTCTCTCAGTGGCTGTTCAACACCACCACTGTGTTGAGCAGTGATTGTTGAACACAAGGGCACTGAGACTGTGAACATAAGGGCACTGAGACTGTGAACACAAGGGCACTGACACTGTGAACACAAGGGTACTGAGACTGTGAACACAAGGGTACTGAGACTGTGAACACAAGGGTACTGAGACTGTGAACACAAGGGCACTGAGACTGTGAACACAAGGGTACTGAGACTGTGAACACAAGGGCACTGAGACTGTGAACACAAGGGCACTGAGACTGTGAACACAAGGGTACTGAGACTGTGAACACAAGGGTACTGAGACTGTGAACACAAGGGTACTGAGACTGTGAACACAAGGGCACTGAGACTGTGAACACAAGGGCACTGAGACTGTGAACACAAGGGTACTGAGACTGTGAACACAAGGGTACTGAGACTGTGAACACAAGGGCACTGAGACTGTGAACACAAGGGTACTGAGACTGTGAACACAAGGGCACTGAGACTGTGAACACAAGGGTACTGAGACTGTGAACACAAGGGTACTGAGACTGTGAACACAAGGGTACTGAGACTGTGAACACAAGGGCACTGAGACTGTGAACACAAGGGTACTGAGACTGTGAACACAAGGGTACTGAGACTGTGAACACAAGGGTACTGAGACTGTGAACACAAGGGCACTGACACTGTGAACACAAGGGCACTGACACTGTGAACACAAGGGCACTGAGACTGTGAACACAAGGGCACTGACACTGTGAACACAAGGGCACTGACACTGTGAACACAAGGGCACTGAGACTCCGAACACAAGGGCACTGAGACTGTGAACACAAGGGCACTGAGACTCCGAACACAAGGGCACTGAGACTGTGAACACAAGGGCACTGAGACTGTGAACACAAGGGTACTGAGACTGTGAACACAAGGGTACTGAGACTGTGAACACAAGGGTACTGAGACTGTGAACACAAGGGTACTGAGACTGTGAACACAAGGGTACTGAGACTGTGAACACAAGGGTACTGACACTGTGAACACAAGGGCACTGACACTGTGAACACAAGGGTGCTGAAACTGTGAACACAAGGGCATCGATATAGCACAAGAGCACTGGTTGTCTCCTCCACCAAACAGGTGATACCCACAGGCCAGCGAACACGTTCGTGTCAGGTGGTTACCTTACCTTGAGGTGCTTCCGGGGCTTAGCGTCCCCGCGGCCCGGTCGTCGACCAGGCCTCCTGTGGTGTAGCTGGGTTATGCTTCAAGAGCCAACATGTGGAGCAAGACGGAAGCCACAACCTTGAGGACGGTCCGTGCCCCCGCACCTCTGCCAGCGTGCCATAATGCCCGCCTATAATACTTCACCAAGCACAAGGTGTGTTTATCACCCCCAGGTAACCTCCTCTAATTCTCTCACCTGTATATTAAGGTACACCGGCCATAATGACCTGGTGTGCCACCGGACCAGACGGGAGGGCTCACTCCCAGGGTGGGCCAGTCAACCAGCCTGTGGTAGAGAACTACTTAGATTCTGTGACAAATTTTCATTAAGCCAGCAGATAATAGAGCCAATTAGGACCGAAAATATTCTAAATCAGGGGCCAGATTCACGAAGCAGTTACGCAAGTACTTACGAACGTGTACATCTTTCCTCAATCTTTGACGGCTTTGGTAACATTTATTAAACAGTTTACAAGCATGAAAACTTCCCAATCAACTGTTGTTATTGTTATAAACAGCCTCCTGGTGCTTCGGAGCTCATTAACTGTTTAATAATTGTAAACAAAGCCGCCATCTTGAGAAAAGATGTACAGGTTCATAAG